ATAAGTGCCCATAACTTCTGCATGGTTTACCGTGCTTTCAATCTCTTATCTTCGTTTATCACCAAAATTAAGACCACTTTGTTAATTATCCTTTACCGAACAACGATGGAAACTATTTAAAATATTCGAATTGAGCTGTAAATGTCGATTTAGTTCAAAAAAGATTGAGAAAATTCTTTCTGAAACGAACATATAATATTGCAGGATAAGTAGAGAACATCTTTCTACGAAACTATTTCTACTAAAGGAAATCGTTACATGTAAGCTAAAGAAAACCTCCAGAATATCTGAAAAATAGAAATTCCTTCCTGAAATATTTGTTTTTTGGTCTTTAGATATTCCTCTTTTTACAAGCTTAAACAAAGTAACACTAGTGTGAAAAGAGCGAATTTGTTTAAGTCTGTGCGCCGTGCGACGCACTGAGTGCGCCCCAAACTGCCGGCTGGCAGTAGTATCGTTCATAAATTCCGCCACCCATTAGTTTCCATCTGTAGTATCTACCCTAATTTGTATGGATCATTCGCGCTGCAGACTTGGCAAAGGTCCCTTTAAAATAATGCAAACGTTATTTGTAGTGAAGGCAAAAGTAGAGTAATTTGATTGCGAGAGAGATGTTTGAAGGAGATGACGATTAAGGCAAGGACTAACTTTTCAGCAAAATCTCAATCAATTCATGACTATCCTATGGATTCTTCTTGTCTAATTTAAGACATTAAAGCTACTCACGTTAAGTTAAGCGAAGGTGGTCCGAACATAGGTACGCTAGCTGGGGCAATATCAAGAATTTCTTCATATTCATTAGAATATAGATCTGTCGGATATCGCAGTCCTTTCGCAGCCTGAAAGCATTTGACAAATTTTGCAAAAGTGGAATTTTATCATGAGTGAAGTGTTCTTCTACCTGTGAGTACCATTTTCCAACAAAAAACTGAAGAGGTTCTAATGCTGGTGGAAGAGGGGTTTCTGGTTCGTCTGAAAAAGAAAACACAGTTGAACCTGTTCTCAGGTAGGCGTTCAAATGAGTCGATTCTGTGGGCAATTCTTCTGACTACAACTAATTCAAGTCGTCGAAACTTGCTTGGAGAGCTTGTTCTCTATCGTTCACAAAAGCTGTTTGAATTTGAATTCCTTCAGTAGAAAATGAATTTTTGATTCTGGTGTACCCGAAGTTCAGAACATTTGCATAGTTTGGGCCTTGAACTTGGGGTCAAATTATCTTTTAACAACTTCCGAACAGAAAACGGTGAAACATACTATAGTTCGGATCAGGAGTGCAAAGATTGCATGCGAGAGCGCAATTCACGTCGAAAAAGTTTGTCTGGGTCAAAATGGTGTGGCACTTGTCTTCCAAAGCCCATCGTTCGCAGCTTTTATATATGTTTCGACATTTTCCTGGAAATAGGATGGTTGTAAGATTAGCTTACTTGCTTAGATCGCTTTGTAGTAAAATCACACACACATAATATATTTCCTGGTATGTATTAGTTATAATTTGCAATATGTTTAAGTGTTATTTCTATGCTTGTCAAATTTA